CCGCGCGGCTGCATTCTGGACTAACTGGAGCCTCCGAATGCTCCTCAAGGGGAGCCCCATGTAGAGAGCATTACAGTAGTCCAGGCGGGAGGTGACAAGAGCATGGGTGACTGTGCGCAAGGCGTCCCGGTCCAGAAAAGGCCGCAACTGGTGAACCAGGCGTACCCGGTAAAACGCCCCCCTGGCCACGGCCGTCAACAGTTGCACTGTCTCAGCGTCATGTGATTACCATTTGTAACCTTCCCAGCTGGCTTCTGACAAGCAAAGTGAATGGGGAGAATCAGATTCACTTAACAACCGCATGATTTACTTAACAGTTGCAGTGATTCACTTAACAACTGTGATAAAGGTTGTAAAAGGGGAGAAAACTCACTTAACAATTGCTTTGCTTAGCAGTGGAAATCTGGGACTCAGTTTAGTGGTAAGTTGAGGACTACCTGTATGGATTAGTACTCTAGAACTGCATAGCCCACTTAGTTTTCATTTTTATCTAAGGTTATCAAAGGTTTGGCAAATAGTAGAATATTACATCTTGATAGAATGAGAGCCTCCCAGAATTGCTCTTTTGTGAGATGAAATTTAATAAATGCAGGTAGTTCTCAACTTACGACCACAGTTGAGCCCAAAATTTCTGTTGCTAAGTGAGACAGTTGTTAAATGAATTTTGCCCCATTTTACGATCTTTCTTGCCACAGTTGTTAAGTGAATCACTGCAGTTAAGTTAGTAACATAGTTGTTAAGTGAATTTGGCTTCCTCATTGACTTTGCGTGTCAGAACATTGCAAAAGGAGATCACATGACTCCGGGACACTGCAACTGTCATAAATGTGAGTCAGTTGCCACACGCCTAAACTTTGATCTTGTGACCACGGGGATGCTGCAATGGTTGTAAGTGTGATAAATGGTCATAAATGGTCATTTTTCAGTGCCTTTGTAATTTTCAACAGTCACTAAATGAACTGTTGTAAGTCGAGGACTACCTGTAAAACAAAATAGCCTGCTTTTTCTGTGAGTTGTGCAAGAATGCCTAAATTGCTCTCTTTCCTCTTTGTAGCAGAAACAAAATGAGTGTGAAGTCAGAACGCCGAGGGATCCATGTTGATCAGTCAGAACTGCTTTGCAAGAAAGGATGCGGTTACTATGGTAACGTAGCTTGGCAGGGCTACTGCTCCAAGTGCTGGAGAGAAGAGTACCAAAAAGCCAGGCAGAAGCAAATCCAGGAAGACTGGGAGCTTGCTGAGAGGTAAGACTACCCTGAGGAAATGATGGGCTCTAGGTTATTTTTTTCTGTGAACAAGAATGATACACTCCACCATCAGCTAAATTACATGAAATATTGTTTGGGTCTTAAGGTGCAACTTTTAGTCTCAGCAGAGTGCATATTCACTGTCCGGAAGCGGTATGAAATTAAGCTGGTTACAGACAATAGCTTTCATCTTTGATGCAGATATTTTTTTTAAACTTAAAATTAAATTTCAAGTACATTTCATGTATATCCTACTCAAGATGATATAGCAGACAGGAAGTCTCTAGATCAGGCCTGCAAAATAAGCAGCCTTGAGTGACCCGCCAGTATTTAAAAAATACATTAAATTCTTCAATGTACTGCCAAGCGCCTCAAATGCCTCCAAGTGCCACCACTAGCTCCAGTGTTATCACCATTCCACTACTCTCAAACAGCTGTTTGGTGTGACAAGTAGTCTTTTGCAGCTTTTTCTGTGAGTTGTGCAAAAACCTATTTTATCAATGTGGGCCTTTCCCCTCTGAGTTGTGCAGGCCTGTTCTTGGTCATAAGAGTACATCTTTCTGGAGAAAGCTAGAGTGAGCACTGAATGGTGTACTATGGGCCATGCTGCAGTTGGGTGGGCTATATTCAAGTTTTGTGTAATTATTTTTCTTAACGGGAGGGTTGGTAAAACATTCTTTTCTACCAAAAGGAAAAATACCCGAGTCTTATATTTACCAGAGGAGAGTGCTATGATACTGAAATTGTTCTCTCTAGGTGTTACATGAATGGGTTTTCTCCCAATCTTCAAGAGGTTCTGGCTAATACTCGTACAGAGTAAAACTGCCTTTGTAGTTTTGGGTTTGGGGCACATTGAATTTTGCCCTTGTAATACTGTTATTTTGGGAGCTGCATTGGTTGCTGATTAGCTTTTGGTGGCAGTTCAGTATGCCGATTGTCACTTTTAAAGCTAGTGTATTCATGATTCAGGGACCAAATACCAATTAGACTACCTTCTCTGGATTGAATCTGTTTACCCAGTGAAATCAGAAAGAAGGAACTTGCTGAAGGTTTCTTTTTGAGGGAATGCCACATAAAAGGACTTGGGGGCAAGCCTTGGCAATGATGGCCTCTTTTTATAGAACATCTTCCTGGACATTTGGTCCTCCTCTACCTTGGTTATAAAGATTCTGCTCTTTACGGATGCATTTGGATATGGAGATGTTTGGCTTACCCATGTGGGTAGCACTGACATATTGGTTGGTGCTTTGTGTTTCCAGTCTCTTTAAACCTATGTTTCTGGTCTTCCATAAGTCACTTAGCACCAGTAGAAATTTAGCAACAAAGACCAGTGAATATGTACATTAGTAAACAATAGTGCAAACAAGAATGTTAACCTACCAAGTGGACTGCGATGATATTTCTCATTGATGTAGCATTCATCATTTTCCTGAAGACCATCAGGAAAAGAATACTGACCCACAGACTATCATGGTTTAGTAGTTCCTATTTTGGCACTTCATTGGTCTGCACAATGTAGTCAAAGCTCTGGAGTCCAGCTTGCTTGTGGCTATTTTCCATGTGGACCACCTCTAGCTGGTAGCTTTGTGCAATCGGAATTAATTCAGTGATTCTGAAAATGTATCGAGCTTGAAACAATTATTTTGAGGCTGATTCCGACTTTAATAACTTTCTGAATGGTTGAAATAGCTTGTTTCAAGTGTGTGAAATAATTGCTTTGAACATGAAATGAGGCATTTTGAAGTGGAAATAGTTTGCCTGGATCTAGCAGCAGAATATGTGGATGTTGCTAGTCGTTTGGCAATACTTTTTAAAGGAACTGAGATTGCTTATTATTTTTCTCAATGATAGACTACAGCGTGAGGAAGAAGAGGCCTATGCTAATACTCAGCACACTCATGGGGCTCAGTCACTTACTTTCACAAAATTTGAGGAAAAAAAAACAAGTGAGAAACTGCGGAAGGTGGCAACGGTGAAGAAATTCTTTGGAGCATCTTCGCGTCCTGGAACTAAGAAGGGTAAGGTGGACAGAAGAAATGAAAGAGAATTGTTTGCTTATTATTATTATTATTATGGAAGAGGTTGCTTGGAAGGTACTGAAGTACTGTTTCATTGATCTTCTCCATTTCTAGTGAGCATCTGCTTTGGGCATTCTGCCATCTAAGTCATTGCCTTTGGAATCTTCTACTGTTATCTAGAAAGTAGAAGTTTCATAGTAGTAGAAGGTTCTAGAGCAGCGGTTCTCAACCTATGGGTCGCGACCCCATTTGGGGTCGATCGACCATTTCACGGGGGTCGCCAAGGAAGGCTGTCTACCATTTTTTTTTCCCTTTTCCGGCGGGTGCCTTACCTCCCTTGGGCTGGGCCAGCTGGTGGTCGGCCTGCTCCGTCTCTGTCGCTTGCCAGCTACGCCTCAGCCGGCGCAGGGGGTGGAACCACGCATGTGCGGCGCTCCCGGACAGGGAAAGTCCTCGACTTACGACTGGTTGGGTAGTCCTCGACTTACGACCGGTTTAGTCCTCGACTTACGACCGGTTGGGGGTTGCGGCATTAAAAGGGTTGAGAACCACTGTTCTAGAGTATCTTACTTCAGCATTGAAAGCTTTCACATATACTTTCTTGATTGTTAAAATAGTAGTACAGCTGATTAAAATATTAAGAGCCAAAAACTGGCCAGAAGAATTGTTTTATGCTGTGGAGAAAACCACATTCTAAACTCTAGAAAGCCATGAACTCTGAGGTTCAGCAATAGTGTGTCTTCTGAAAATACATCACTGGTAAACCTGAGAGGCTTCTGGAGAGGCTTACAGGCAGTTCTTGACTTACAACTACAGTTGGGAGTGGAACTTCTGTTGAAAAGGGATGCAGTGGTTAAATGAGTTGTGCCTGGTTTTGTGGTCGTCTTGTTGTAATCGTTAAGAATCTGGCTTCCCCCCTTGACTTTGGTTGTCTGAAACCTCCTTGGAAGTTTGTAAATGGTGATCACCTGACCCCGGGACACTACAGCACTCATAAATGTGAGAACTGGTCATATGTCAGTGCTGTCATAACTTTGAACAGTTGTTAAACAACTGATTGTAAGTCGAGGACTACCTGTATATTGGGAGATAATAATAATAATAATAATAATAATAATAATAATAATAATAATAATAATAAAGTTGGAAGGGACCTTGGAGGTCATCGAGTCCAACCTCCTGCTCAGGCAGGAAACCCTATACCATTTCGGACAAATGGCTGTCCAGTCTCTTCTTAAAAACTTCCAGTGTTGGAGCATTCACCGCTTCTGGAGGCAGGTTGTTCCACTGGTTCTAACTGTCAGGAAGTTTCTCCTTAGTTCTAGGTTGCTTCTCTCCTTGATCAGTTTCCATCCGTTGCTTCTCGTCCTGCCTTCAGGCGCCTTGGAGAATAGCTTGATTCCCTCTTCTTTGTGGCAGCCCCTGAGATATTGGAACACTGCTATCATGTCCCCCCTCATCCTTCTCTTCGTTAAACTAGACATATATGAATGAACTGCAATCTCTTAGTTTTGGTAATATTGAGGAATATCAGTAGTCAATACTGTGGTTAAAGGTGTCCCTTATAGTTATTCAGTTGTGAAAGAGCTGGCTGGTTTAGATGCTTTGAAATTCTCATGATCTCATGTCCTACATTTGAATAAACATTTTTAACAGTTACTTTGAAATTCTGAGGGATTTCTCATTCCAAGGGTCATTAGGATAACCAATCATAGGTCTAAGACTTTCAGATAGAGAGCTACCTTCAAAGTGATAAATCACTGATAAAAACATGTTGAGCAATAAATTGTTGGAAGCAAGCAAGTCACAGATCTTAAGCCATAATTCAGTGTCATGTTTTGTCGTGTGAATAATAAAAATGAATGCTTAAAGTTCAGGGCTCTAGATTAAGTAAGAAAGGGTTCTTATCAAATCTTTCAGTAGATACTCAATGTCAACCTAAGGAAAAAAAATTAAGGAAAAAAGGAAGATTTAAGAGGCTGATTTTATTACATTTGTTTGTTGTCCTTACAAAACTGCTTGAGCAGGGCTTGATATGAAGAAACTCAAAGATTTGAACAAAGCAGATATTAGCATGCACAAATATTAAGGTAGTTCTGAAACACAGAAAAACAACAGCTGTGCAGTAATTTTAAGGGGCCTATGTGAATGAAAGTTTCTTGTGATCTGATGAAAGCAGGTAATTGTATCCCTTTTCTTATTAAAATCAGCACAAATGAATAGCATATGAAAGTCACATATTAAGTTTTTTATAGGACTGCTTAAACATTTGTCAAATTTGATTTGTATTTAAGTACTTTTTACTTAATTTTATAACCATTTGTCATATATTTTTTACAAAAATCAACAGTTTAAGGAACAATAAATTGGCAAAATGCAACTATCAATTAAATTCAGGAGCAGTTAAAATTTAATTTTACAACACCATCCAGACAACAGCTTCTGGAATAAAACTGCTGCTGATTGAAATAAGACGTGGTGGACTTAAACATGCATTTTGGAAAACTATTTCAAATTCTGTCTACTACAGCTGAAAAATGTCTATGGGAATTCTCAATCATCCAGCTCATGGCAGTCCCAAGGGTGCTTTTTCCAAAAGGCAACTAGTGTTTCTTGGTGTTTTTTTTTTTAAATATTTCACTTTATCCAAGAACTGAAGAAACTTCTTGGATGAGAAATGAAACATTTTCAGAAAAACAAGAACAAAGCCCAGTTGCTTTTGGGAAGAAAAAACAAAACAAAACACTTTTGGAACTACAGCTGGAAAGGCTAAAGTGCCAGCTTACTATAAATCCAGCAACAGAAGTGAGCCCAGAGAAGTGTTTTGAAGGTGGGGTGTTCAGATAGGCATACAAGGAAGAATAGAAAATTATTCTTAAGACATTGGCCTATCTGCTCAGTGGCCGTGATTAAAATCTTGTCATTTCACTGTCAGCACTTTAACACCTCCTTTCTGCTTTTTTTTGTGTGTGTTAATCTTAGCTGCTAACATCTTTCATGTGCATGTGCATTTTGGGATATTAAATCTACCTTAGAGCTTGTTGCATGTTTCCCCAAAACTGCCTGTTTTTCATTCTGCGCTTATTACATGTTTTGAAATATGTTTTCCCTTCTTCAGTCATCACTTTCAAAGTGCTTGACCACCAGATGTCCAAGCTATTACACTGTCATTTCTTTCTGTAGATCAGATCAGGAACCATAGATCAGTTGCCTCCCTTCTTTATTTCCCCTATTGCCTGTGGCTGTCCTGCTTGCTGTTTTGCATTTGCTCCAGCCATTCAGGAATCCAGTTTTAAGCCTGAACAGCCTGAGGAAGAAGTCAGTGCTGATAATCTTCTAAGGCATTTGAAGGAGATGTTTACTCCGTCTTGGGAGCTTGCTTCTCCTGCTGAAGGTAATACAGCACAGAGGGTCAATCCATGCATGTGCTTGTTTTAGTGGCTTTGCAGAATCCAAGCTAGAATTATACCGGGAGTAACTTACCTTATCTTCTAAACCTAAATAGGTATGCTACAGAGAAGTACAGACAATAGAAGGGTGGGTTTTTTAAAAAATAAATAAATAAATATGGAACCTAAACCTATTTTTTTCCCTTCAGCAGAAAATACTGTGAATTCTACTTAAATACTTGCTTGGTTAAGTTATAAAGGAACCCTTATATCAATATTTAAGCAAAGCTAAAAATGGATGAAGTCTTGATAATTTAGAATCTAAATATTTTAATTTTAACTATATAAATTTGATTAATAAAATAATTTTTTGAAAAAGCAAATTGTAAGGCACTTTCTTGAGATGAAAACAATTAGATCAAAATGTTGCTCAGGCCATAACAGTGGAAAAACAGAAATTAGTCACATGTATTTTGAGAAATAAATGAGTTTAACTGCTGGAGGGGCTGGGATTGCTTTTTTTGATGCAACAAAAGAGAATCTTTGTGAAGTTGAATAAGTGTTTCCTCATCTTGGCAGGTAATTCATACATGCTCTATTTTTTGTTTTGATTAATCATTTAAGTGACATAAAATAAATGCCTAGAGATCACATAGAAACAAATTTATTTTTGCTAGCTTTTGGAAGATTCTATCTTCTCTGATTACAAGAAGTTTAGTTGATTACTCTTCTTGCTTCTAAGATTTCACTAGAGATTATCCACACAATTCCAGCATATTTTTCCATCCAAAACTAGATGTGTACTCTTAAAAAAAAAAGAGGCTGTTTGTATAGTAAAAAAAAAATTACGATTTTTTTTTTTTAAAAAACCCACTTTTGTTGGAATTCTTGTTACTGCACTGTCTTTCAAAATGAGTACAGTGAGATCCAGTTTTAACAGAAATAGTTTCAGATGCATGCCATGGTGTTTTCCCTTATTTTCATTCATTTGGGCTTATTATTTATGGCTTCCTTCAGCTTTCTGCCAAGTGTTTTTTTTTATAGACTGTTCAGACTGGCTGCTGTATATATTTTTTAAGCCAGATAGTTTTGATGAAAGATATAATATTTTTTTTTCTGAGTTCTGTCATAACAATTTATTCTGTATGTAGTCAGTTTTTCTTTTTTTAAATATCAATTCAGCCAGAAGGTGCTGGAGGTACCAATCTTTCCACCTCCCACATCTAATGCTATAATAAAAAATAAAACCCAAATACTTTTAGTGTTTACTTTTTCACTCAGCCTTTTTCAACTATAACTTCCAGAGATCTCAAGTAGCTTGCCCAATTACCTGTTAGCATCAGGAGCACAGCATAATATGGAAGTTCATTTTCTCGAACATTATAAATGTGAAACACCAAGTAAGTAATAACATTTTAAATATCCTGTGTAGCTGATTTGTCACATCCTTTTTAAAAAATGCAGTTAAAGAAGACAGTGGAGACTGCAAAGAGTATTTTGCATCTTAAAAATAATAATATTGGCTACTCTGACGTGCAGTTAGGAGCATTTGGCTGATCTTGTCTAGGGTCAGAGGCTACTGAAGGCCATCTTAATCTGCAAATATTGACT